TCCCAAGTCGGGGGGGGGGGGGAAGACAGTAAAAAAGAGCACAGAAGTCATTTCATCCATTTTCCAATTAACTAAGGCAATTTACAGAAATTTTATAACACCACTATAGTGCCAATTTTCCCAGCCAAAGCTAAACATAAACTAAAGCTACATATTTTTTAAAAGGACTAAAAGCCTGTTTCTGTTCAGTGGCATTTCAGAAGCAGAGGTTAAAACCTAAGCAAAAGCTAGAGTCCTTGCTTTTTAATGCATTAGCCTTTCTCATACCTTTCTACTGGGTTTACAGCATTGAATTTGTTAAATATAATACAGCTATCAAATAACAGATTGCTCATTAAGTGAAAGGAGGTGTTACGTTACAGGGCTCTCTCCTTCAAGTCTTTCCCATAGAGATTGTATTTCCCTGCTATGTAGCTGAGGATGGCTCTGGTCTGCACCATCTTCATCCCATCGATCTCAACCAGGGGCACTTGCTGGAACATCAGGACTCCATCTAGTGTGGAAAGTTGAGGGAAAGCTTGTTAGTTCCTCCTAGACTTTTAGCTTTACAGTAAAGCGAGATACTGAGCATGTCTTCTGCAGTGTAGGAGACCATTGATGTCTTGCCCTAACTGTAAAACTCCATGCAGTAAGCTAACATTGTAGGAAAGATCAAATATTGACTAGCCTGCATCATACTTGTGTAGCTAGGTCATCACAGGGCAGCTGGGCCCCTTGCTTTACAGCATTGCCAGAGCTTCACTGGCTGATGGGAGCTGACACCGCCTGCTCCTTTGCGCTTCTGGACCCTGCCTCATGCTGGCAGAAAAAGCCTGAACCAGCACTTTCAACCCAAGGGATCGGAGGAGACTAAAGATCTGTGTTAAATCAGAACTTAAAAAAACCCAACAACAACAGAAAACCCCAACCAATTATTTTGAATGCAGATCAGTTCCCTGTCAGGGACATACACACATGACTAGAAAGAATGAGAGGGGTAGTACCACAGCAAGACTGAGCTACTGGGACAAAGATGTCAGGCCACTTTAAACATGGTGAAGCAACAGAGTTAGAGGCAGGGATTGGGACAGCAGTTGCTGCTTAAGTAAGTTTTACACAGTCACTCCAGGGACAAGAATTTGAGACCAGACTAGTTTTCTGCTGGACTAATTCACTGTCTTTGGAGATACTCCCTCCTCCATTTACATATTAAGGGCATCCAGAGAACAATCCAGCCCTATTAAAATCACAGCAAAACTCCAAATCCAACTAGGCAGCTGCCACTTTGCATTGCTCAAAGTTAATAATTTATTTTAATTGCTCAATTTTAATCTGTTCACTGCGTCCTTCTTTCACGTAAAAGGGTTCATTTTAACAGGCATGTCTGTTTGCCTTTTTCTCCACAGAGCTATTAAAATCCTTTGCTAGTCTAGAATTAATAAACATTTTTCACTCATTCCATACTATTAATTTACAGTCTAAATTCAGAGTAGTTTTCTTTGCAACAACGAATAGCCTGTGTTTTGTTCTTGTAAACATTCACAGAAAGGTTATATGTTTTCATGTCTTTCAAGAACACACCTCTGCAGCTTAAGGAAGAAATATTAATTGGTATCAATCTAGCAGAAACACAATAGAATGTCAAAACTAACAGCTCTGCAAGGATATTTTTCAGCAGAAAGATGTGAAGTGAAAAATAAAATCTGACTTTCTGGCCCTTGACAAAAAGCGATGCAGCAAATGTGAGTGAACTGAATGCATGGTTTGTTTCTTATCTGCAGAAAAGAGGGATTTCTCTCTTATGACCAGTAGCAGACTGCTTCTCCTTGCTCTGCAGTGAGAACCACTTCACATAATCACTGCAGAGAAAATATATGCAGGATTAAAAGCAGTTTGCCAGTTGTTTTGCAGATTGGATTGTGGTCTGTGGAACATACATTAGAAACTGATCATCTGGACCTACTGTTTGTCACCAACTAGCAGAGCTTATTGATATCCAGCTACCAACTTGGGCAACCTGTGGCTGCATAGATTGAGCCAAGATAGTCATCTCTCAGGCCAACAGGTACAGGTCTGGCCAGGCCAATGCTATTTAGCTCTCTCGGTCTCCAAAACAGTTGTCTGTCTGCAAATTTGGAACAGCCCCCAGCCCGGGCTTTATCCTGGACCCTGCTGGGGCATTGCTTAGATCATCAGCTGGCATGGGCCAAAGTCATGCCTGGACCATTCTAACAACGTGGTGTCTAAACACAGGATACCCTAGCAAAAAGCATGTTGGTAGGGGAAAAAAAAAAAATATTAGAGGGAGAGGTAATGTGGGATTATTCATGTTCAGTTCTGCCCTGCGCGACTGGCAGCATTCCAGAGGTGCCTTTATCAGGATGACTAACTAATTTGCCTTTCTTCAACCCTTTGTGTTAAACCCCACCTTTTTCTTTGTGTTCTCACCCTCTTAAGATCAATATATATATAGAAAAGCCCTTAATCTTCTTTATAAAACTGCCCTATCCTTTTCGTCACCATTTAATTCTTCTCTCTGGATGGATAAGCTTGGACGCTGTATCCAGGATTGTACCACTCTGTCTGGATTAATTAGTATTTTGAAGCAAATTCAGATTTGGGCTTTCAGTACCTGAGCTATCATATTTAGAGCTATAACTGGTGTCTTTACACTGCACTGACCTCCAACATTGTCAGATTCCCAGCCAGATGGATGTGCAAATTTAATTCTGATCTTCTTAATACCATTTCTTTTTTATTTTTGTTCATTTTAGCTTTCCTGTGAGAAATTATTTAAACACAGCTTTTCCTTTCTGAGCAAGCAGCCAGAATACAGCCGAGTTATCTTCCAAGGCTCCTAGTATGTCTTGGCAAGCTCAGCCTGCTGTGAGGTTTCTCTTACATGTCTTGGACAGCAGGTGAACGGCAGGGCAGGTACACTCTTTAGTGCTCCTCACAGTCCCAAATTCTTCCCCGCACCGGCAGCAAGGTCTTCTCCTTCCAGGGTGGCTGCAGAGGGGTTCACTGCTGGACTTCATCTGGCCAAATATCAAGGGCAGTGGCTGGGGGTATGCACTGGTGTTTGGGAACTGGTCTGATACCCAAGGTTGACATGAAGCCTTTGTGACTCGCTACTCTGGCCATGTCAGACTTTCTGCAGGTCTCCCCGCTGGCTCCCTATTTTTTAGCTGGGGGAAGTTTCATGGCTCAGGTTTATCCTGCATAGGGCTGAGACTTGTGTGTTCGCGCAGAGCCTAGCACAAAGGAAAACTTGCTTTCCTGGGGATTTTGGTGCCATGCTGGCCTTTCATTTAGAGGCTTATCATCTCACTGAAGTTCAGAACCAACATACAGGTACATCTGTGCTAGTCAACTCAACAAAAGCTCAGGCCAGCTGGCACAGACTGGCCACATGCACTCTATTCAGCTCACTCTGCCTATAGACCATGGTGCTCACATCTAAATGACATCTTGGAAATGTCCCTTGGCCTGGGACAACCCCCAGATGATGCCTAGGAATTGCTTTGGGGAGTGCGATTTGCCCTGGACCAAAAATCTGCCAGGAACCATGCTAACAGTTCAACAGCATAGATAATTAAATTGCATTAAATAGGAACGTTTCCTACTCCTGTTTAATGTACTGCAATAAACAGAGTCCCAGAAGTTATGGCTTTTAACTTATAGGAGCTGTTTAGCACTGGAAAGAACAGGTTACTCAAAACCAGTATTTCAGTATTCTAGATGTGCACATAGAAGTTTGCACTAGTTTAAATAAACTAATTTTAAACCACAAATTTAGCTAAATTGGAGCATATTTTTGAGGGACTGAGCCTCAGGCATCAAGATTCTTACCTTTGATTAACTTTTCATATTGCTGTCTTGTCTCCAAAAAAATTTCTTCAAACTGTAAGAGAGAATAGTGTTACATTGCTGTATTTGAATATTTTTCTTCTGTGACTGCACATAAACACATGCAGAACAACCAAACCAAGCAAAATATAATGGGCTGGGTCTTCAAATGTGCTGTTTGGTCGCATGTGTCCTGAGGATCACCCATGCATCTTCACAGCTGGGGAGGAGCAGAAGGGCCTGGCCACTTCTGCCTCAAGGCACTGATTCAGAAATAACCTAAATGCAGGTAGAAACAAAGTACAGACATCCACAGGAGGAAGACAGGTTGCAGCCAGTGCAAAGGGAAGCCCGTGCCAGGGCATGTAAGTCAACAACACTCTTGTTTATCCACGTCGTAACTACGAACTAAATAACACTGAGTTGAGGTGGTTTTTGCACAGCTGGAAAACTCAGATTAATTAGCCTTTAAGTAAATCCTCGTTTTGACCCATGATGATTAATTACTTCAGGGGACTGATACTATCTCTAGAAAACTCCAAGCTCCACTGCGTTTGCATCCCAAACACTAACCACAGAACAACGTAGTTACAAACATGCGGTGCCACTGGCCAAATGAATTTAGACACCCTCTTGTAGCCGTTCATCCTCCATGTGCATGTTAAATTATTCCTTCCTGAGGGCAGTTGAAAACAGCAGTCTGGAACACTGTACCAAATGTCAACTAACCTCCACGCCAGCTGCTGCCAACAGCCATCGTACGGGCTCCATTCGCCCCCTTCCATTAAGGTAGGTAAGCTTGGGCTTCCCCGACATGCTTCTGAGCTCCTGGTTCCCTGAAAAATTTTCAGCAGAACACAGTGTCATAAAACTGGTGTAAGTACCATTATTCTGAGGGGAGAGACAGACTTCTATTCTCACTAGGCCTGTTCAAGTTTAAACTTCGTCTGGTTTAAAATATAAAATGAGAGATGGACTGGTGACGCCAAACAGCCTGTGCTAGGAAAGGAAAGATGTGCAGATCTGTAAAGCCTTCCCCAGTGCTACTAGGGAGGTTTGTTATGATTATAAGCAAAGACAGACATGTTTAAATAAGTGATATAAGTCCTGAGCTACAGGGAGAAGCTTGCTGCATTTTAAAACAATTGTCCAAAACCACTGAAAAACCCTACCACATCCTCAGGAAAGTTACTCACTCACCCTTCATTGCTGTCATCCTCATTGAAAAGATGAAAAGCAGGAAAGGAAAACATGTTTTACTGGTAGGCTGAACTTTGCCTAGCTTTGTTTGCCAGGTGTTGGAGAGCATTTTGTGGCTTCAACTGCTATCCACCTCTTTCCTCCGGTAGGGACAACTTAATTGTTAATATTCCCTTTATTCCATGAAACAGGCTGAGCTTCCTTGTTTCTTTGCTGCTTAGGGCAGCCTTGAGGTGCCCCTCAAAGCCAGAACTGGTACCTAGCTGCACTGGCTTCAGGTGGCCTCAAAAGTATCCCCCAGGGCACCGTGGACCTGCGTGCCGAGGGGACTGTCACATCGGAGGCTGTCTGAAGCTTGCTGTAACAGCCCCGCTCTCTGCACCAGGAGCAACAGAGTGTGTAGCAGACAGCGCATCTGTACTGAGCTGTTTCATACATAGGGACAACCAGCTGGATTATTTGTGCTGGCACTTGGGTGTCAGTGTTTGCAAATTCAGGCCTTGATTTCTCTGTGCTCAGTTGCCCTAATTGCTAAAAAAAAAAAATAGGACTTAGTATTCCCCATTCACAAAGATGGTAGTATCACACACTAATGACTGGGAGAAAAAAAGCTTAAAAATGGGTATCCTAATCATGTCCTAATGGCTCAGAAACCAGCGTAGAGTGCCTGATTTAAAAAAATAATTTTACAGACGACCCTAATTTTCTCAGAGTTAAAAGCCAGAGCTGCAACATTCCTTCTGTCACACTTTGCATAAACATGACATTTCCCATTTGAATCAGGTTCACTATGCTCTCGTGATGTGTTTTCTTCAAGTCACAGTGCTTTTGCAAGTGTACTTAAAATAAAGTACGTTTGGAATGTATTTTGCCAAAACTTGATCTTAAAGAACAATCAGATTGAGAGTTCTCCCTTGAGCAGCGCTGGTAAGAATTAGTAAAACAAATGGGGATATTTTGGGTAATTTAGACAATATAATCCCAATACACATAAAGGATAAAATGATCACCCCCAGTTTTAAAGTGCAAATAACTGTTGCTAATTACAATGTTTTGCCTCTAAGACAGGGGTTTTATTAGTTTCTGCACATTGTGTGAGTAGCTTTCACTGTATGGCAGTGCAGCTTATCTATTTAGTTCACAACAGCTAACTAGTGCCTCTTTCATTATCATACTTCTCAGATACATTGCATCTCTATCATTTCAACACACATCGCTCCAACTTGTAATGTACAGAAACTTACAGTAAATAAGACTTTAACTAAAAAAGGCAAAGATACCAAGAATGCGCAATACCAAGAATGTGAAACTTAATCCTCTTGAAAAATTTATCTATTGTTTACAGACCAAAAGCAGAGGGAGTGAAAAGCCTTAGGTATCATTTTATCATTTTACATGAATGAGAAATTCTATATGGCATTAAATTATGTGAGAAGAACAACGACAAATGGAGAATAAAACCCTGTCATCAGCTTCATTTTTGTTTAAATTAAGAATAACTCTGTCAGCTGTAAGTGGATTTTAATTGTCTTGAGCTTCTGACACAGAAAATAACCCTTGTTTTTTTGTAAAGTCTCCTCAAGCTTTAGGTCCACCGAATGCATCTCTATTGACTATACAGGGACCTGACACATGTAGCTCACATACAGACAGCCACATTTCGGTGCCTGGGTCTGAGTCTTGCCGTGAGGACTCAGGTTAGTTGCCCATTCCTATCTGTCTGCTGACAGCTGAAATTCCTTAACAGTGGGCAGATACAAGCCTTGACTTACAAAATTTTACTAAAAGATTTGCGGGGTGTTGTGTTTAAAAAAAAAAAAATAATGACCCGTTTCTGATGCGATATGTTGATGATTAGCAGCCAAGGAATCTTGTAGAGCTTACAGTCATTCTTTACTGTTTGCCTTAGCTGAAAAGGGCCATCGGGCCTCTCCACGTAAGTTACAATTTTTTTGAGAAGTGTAGAATATCTGGGTTACATTCTTCAACAAGAGAAGCAGTGTTTATCTGAATCACAGAATTTCCAGAGTTGGAAGGGACCTCCAGAGATCATCTAATCCAACTCCCCTGCTAAAGTAGGATTGCCCACAGCACATTACTCAGGACTGCATCCAGGCAGGTTTTGAAAATCTCCAGAGAAAGGGACCCCACAGCCTCCCTGGGCAGCCTGTGCCAGTGCTCTGTCACCCTCACTGTAAAGAAGTTTTTCCGTGTGTTGGAACAGAACTTCCTATGTTCCAACTTGCACCCATTGTCCCTCGTCCTGTCACTGGGAACCACCGTGAAGAGTGTTGCTGCATCCTCCTTCGACCCACCCTTTAGATATTTGTAAGTAGTAATAAGGTCTCCCCTCAGCCTTCTCTTCTCCAGGCTAAAGAGTCCCAGCTCTCTCAGCCTTTCCTCGTAAGGGAGATGCTCCAATCCCTCAATCATCTTGGCTGCCCTTCGCTGGACTCTCTCCAGCAGTTCCCTGTCCCAAAAAAACATATTAAACCCACTCAAAATCTTCCCTGACCAGTTACTAGAAAAAATGCAAGCTCTTTTAGGAGCTGTAGGGTTCTGGCACCCCTGGATAGCTGCTTTCGAGGATATGGCAAAACCCCTGTTACAGATTATTGCCCAAGATGCTGCAGAGGCCATTCACTGGACAACAGACAAGGTAAAGACATTGAAGCTTTTGAAGCAAACTGCACCTGCCCTGGGACTGCTAGACTACAGTAAACCATTTACCTTGTTCATACAAGAAGGGCAAGGAATAGCCTCTGGGATGGTAACTAACTCGCTGAACCCTGCTACTCCGCTCCCTCCACCTGGGGAAGGAACTCCACATCACGACTGTGTAGTAACCATCTGTGAAGCTGAAAAGACTCAAGAAGATTTAACAGACGTACCATTTCTAAATCCCAATCTGGAACCATTTGTTGGCGGCTCCTCATGTTATCTGAGCAGCAACTGGGTTAGAGGTTATTCAATAACTACTGTGAATGAAATAGTGGAGGCTTCATCACTCAGTTTGAAGCTGAGTGCACAAGCAGCCAAATTACTTGCATTAACAAAGGTCTATCAGCTGGCCAAAGAAAAGACCGTAAATATTTATGCAGAGCCTCAATACGCATTTGGAGTATGCCATGCTACTGGGCAGTTATGGAAGCTGCGTGGGTTTATAACTTCTAGTAGAAGTAAAATATCAAATGCTCCACAACTTACAGAACTGTTAAAAGCTATACAATTGCCAGAGAAACTTGCCATCATTCGTCAGCCAGCCCATGCTGGCAGAAGGACAAAAGCAGAGATAAGAAATAGTCTAACAAACATTGCCACTAAAGCCACAGCACAACAGCTGTATGAACCACTGGGCTTACAGTCCAGGTCAGACCTGGTGTTGCCCACTCCTGAAAAGATATATTTCACTGTCCCTGCTGAAGAAATGGACTCTTGCAAAAGGTATGAAGTGATCAAAGACTGCCAGGGAATATGGAGAGCAGATATAGAAAACTTTCCTATTTTACCTAAGCAATACATGATTGCCACAGCAAAAATGCATCACCATCCAGGGCATTTTTGGTCTGCTGCACCAGCCCAGACACTGCTGAAGAATTTGTTCATGCCAGGAATTTATGCTGCAGCCAAATAAGTAACCACATCTTGCACCTTTAGACTTCATTAATATTTAGAAAAGACCTCAACACAAAATCTGTCTATATACAAATGTTTTTACTGCTTTTATCTAAACTCCATATTTCCATCCTATTTCCTAGTGAGCCTTAATGACATGCCTGTCCTGAATTTCTCTGAGGATGCTTCTCAGAGATGTAAGAACCGTTTAAGAGGGGATGGTCTTTCCGAAACAGCATTATCTGCATTCACTGGGAAGTGCCCTTTAGACCCGGAGCTGGAAACAGAGTCCAGCACACCAAATGGGCCAGCTTTCCTGCTCAGACCCAGAAGAAACCGCCACAGTGCTAAAGGCTTGCACTGTGTTCTCCCACCCAACTTTGCCTTCCCACGCTTCATCCTCTCAGCGTTTTCACGACTGCCTCGCTGAGCTCCAAACTGCACTGCAGGACTCATTTCCTGGTTAAAAAAAAAAAAAAAAAAAAAAGAAAAGTCTTTCTTTTGCTTTCTCTCTCCTGCAGCTTCTAGGTGCTGAGTAACTATTGAGCCATGCTTAGTCTACCTGGCACACGAACTAAAGAGAGCAGAGAATTTACATTACCCCAGCAGGTGCCCTGATAAGTTTGGAAGTAGCTTCACAATAAGTAGTCGCTCAAATGCTTTAAGAAAAAGGAATTTTTAAGTTAGTACTTACCTTGTGACCTTAATTCAGCCTCCACCCAGCATAGACAGGTTCCCCGGGGGTGTTTAAACTTTGGAGCTCAGGGGAGTTTCCAGCCGTACCCAATTAGAGAGAAAATCTCTCACTGCTATTAAGCTGGCTCTGCCCAGCTTAAAGACGTACGTCTCTGAAAATTGCCATCCAAGGCAGAGACTGTCTTTCTTTTTCACTTTGCTGATTTGACTATACCATGTCGGTAGCCTCATAGTTTCCATCGTAGCCATCTATTCAAACTGCTTTCTTGGAATTATTGGGGAGTTTTACCCAAATAGAAGGGCAAGACACTTTAAAACAGTGAGAAAATTATAGATTTTTCTGGGTCA